TGTTAGCCTGCCCTTCCATTCCCAAATGATCTCTGCTAGCCTGCCCCTTCCATTCCCAAATGATCTCTGTTAGCCTGCCCCTTCCATTCCCAAATGATCTCTGTTAGCCTGCCCCTTCCATTCCCAAATGATCTCTGTTAGCCTGCCCCTTCCATTCCCAAATGATCTCTGCTAGCCTGCCCCTTCCATTCCCAAATGATCTCTGCTAGCCTGCCCCTTCCATTCCCAAATGATCTCTGTTAGCCTGCCCCTTCCATTCCCAAATGATCTCTGCTAGCCTGCCCCTTCCATTCCCAAATGATCTCTGTTAGCCTGCCCCTTCCATTCCCAAATGATCTCTGTTAGCCTGCCCCTTCCATTCCCAAATGATCTCTGTTAGCCTGCCCCTTCCATTCCCAAATGATCTCTGCTAGCCTGCCCCTTCCATTCCCAAATGATCTCTGCTAGCCTGCCCCTTCCATTCCCAAATGATCTCTGCTAGCCTGCCCCTTCCATTCCCAAATGATCTCTGTTAGCCTGCCCCTTCCATTCCCAAATGATCTCTGTTAGCCTGCCCCTTCCATTCCCAAATGATCTTGCTAGCCTGCCCATACTCGCACTTACAATCTATCCACGACTGCAATTTCTCAAAGCTGTCCCTGCTGGTGATATCGTAGACGATGATAGCATAATCCGCACCTCGGAGATAGTTTTTTACCTGGAATCTGGAGATTTAGCGGAAATCTTGAGGAAAATTCCTCAAAGAATCTCTGCTGGCATGCCCTTCCCACACCCCTCCTAAAAGATCTCGGCTAGTTGCTCCTGTCTGACGTTTCCCAAAGAATCTCTGCTGGTTTGACTGACTCAAATCTTTAGCTGCTATTGGCCTACCAAAGATCGAAACCGCTCCTGGCCGGCCGTATCCCAGAGCTGTAACTCCACTGTCGTCGAGCCGATCGGGCTAAAAAGAGTGCTAAAAAGGGAGAGAGTGATACAGAGAGAGAGAGAGAGAGAGAGAGCGAGAGAGGGAGAGAGCGAGCGAGAGAGAGCGCTAGAGAGAGGGAGAGAGATAGAGCGAGAGAGAGAGGGAGAGAGCGAGAGAGAAAGAGAAAGAGAGCGAGAGAGAGAGAAAGAAAGAAAGAAACTCACATATTACAAATGATATAATTCGCTCCCAGCGTGCTCGTCTGCTTCGTGTCAAAACCGCGCCCATCGTACCGTAACAATATCGACGTCTTCCCTACTCCTTCAAAGTATAAATTTTGAAGCCATTAAAACCGACTAAAAACTAAGAAAAATTACACTCCAACCCACCTGATTCTCCCAAAAAAACGACCTTCTTCTTGATCCGTTTATGACCGGGCATCGTGTTCTGAATCGATTGTTGGCAAGAGATTGTCAAAATTCAACGATATAAAAATCCGAAAAGGATTAACGGAAATAAAACTTATAAACTAATTTGTTTTTAACTTGTTTAACCATTTTTACACCCAAACCCTTATTTTAATGCGTTCAAAGCCTTTCCAAGCCACAACCAAGTTTCCTGGGCCCAAATTCCGGCCTTATAAGTGTTTATAAAAGATACAAATTGACTATATTGTGCTTATTTACAAGCCAAGACCACGCAATCGGTTACGCCATGAAAAGAGCGTCGTTCAAAGTGAGGTCGGCGCGCCGATGCACGGGTCAATCCTTCTTTCTAGCTGGAGTTTCGCGGCAGGCTAGCGGAGAACGTTTCGGAAACGCGGAAATTGGTGCTGATTGGATCATATAATGCTGTTTTAATACAAGATCGTGATAAAATACCTGAGAAAACGTATTGTATTCTTTATTAAAATTTACCAGGGTTGAAAAGTCGCTTCGCGACTTTTCAACCCTGGCCGCGACTGACCCCATTTTATCCTTCACTTTGCATCTAATTGTCCTAAATTCAGAAGACAAAAATGAAAAACACCTCTCCTGTCCCTTTATATAGGCGAATCTCCATTTCCGGTCTATGCTAATTTTTCCTAACAAAGAGGTTTTCACAAACACTTAAATTTAATGTCGAAAATGGGTAATTTTGTTAAATCTCATATGCGTGCAGTCTTCTCCAGACCATTACGCACCTAATGACGTATCATACATACCTTAAAATTCAGCCCCTAGCGAGATATCCTCCGGACAGACAGACGGAAGTGGATGCAAAGTGGCACACACAGACACACACACACACAGACACTATTTTTTTTAAATATAGTAGGATATACGTATAAAATTAATATGCCCTGGATATAAAGTGCTTCGAAAAAAACTAGCAATGGACGAAATTGCGAAAAAATGGGCGGCAATTCATGCCGCGGCTAGCCGGATGCAATAAAAAAATTTTCTATTCGATTTGGGGCAACCGCTATATAGGATTAGTCATCGCGCCGAGCCAACGGTTTTTCTTGCAAATACGATTAAAAGACGATTTTCGGGATTTTTAAGCTCTAAATTGTACTCTATACTTGTCAGTTTTGTTTGGGACTTGGCAATATCGTTTTAATAACTTAAAACAAGTCTATAATTTTCAAAAATTCTTTTAACAAAAGAAAAGGCGCCCGAAAAACGTGAGATATCGGGTTTTTGCGCAAAGTTCGGCAGCCGAGGCACCGGCACGCTTTTCTTGCGACAGAAAATTGGTCTGAAAAGCGTGATAAACCGGGCTTCGCGCGAAATTCGGATGTTTAGTCACCGCTAGCGCTAGCGCACTTTTCTTGCAACAAAAAAATTGCTCTAGTCATTTGCGAAGGCAAAAGCCGATGATAAGCCCAAGCAAATATGATAAGAGTTCATTGGGAAAGTGCGACTTTTGCGAGAAAAGAAGGAAAAATAGGCTTAGGACGATTTTAGAAGCTTTTTTCGGGCATAAACAGTAATTTCGTAGCAAACCCGAGGTTTAAAAGACTAAAAGACGTAAAAAAATAAAATATAGCCGTATAGAAAAGGCTTTATTAAATAGGTATACCTTCCAGCTGCCTAATTTCACGGGGTAAGATGGCTTAACATACGTTTTTAAGCTGTTAAAGCCCTAAAATAAACGTAAACTGGTTACAGCTACTTAAAAAGCAAAATTATTGCTTAGTTTTAACTGTTTTTTTTCTAAATAATAGAGCCATATTCAACCCAATATCTAGATTAATCATTGAAAACCCTGACAAATTATTTGCGATAAAATCATGTGTTTTTTTTGGTTAAATCTTGCGCGCTTTTTAAAAATGTAGCTGCATTTTTATTAGGTTAAACTAGGAAAATAATAAATATAGGGCATTCAAAACGAAAAGCACATGGCGAAATGTGGAGGTGGCGGGTCGATGTGGCGGGCAGAGGGGGGACGTCTCCACGAGAACACAATAAACACAAAAACACGCAGGACGGTGGTGGTGGACAAACAAGTTGACAACACAGCCATGGCCCTTCTCTTCGTGTAGCTTTGAATATAATGGAGGTGTCCACCGGAATGGGCCCGAAAATCGATCCGTCTATCGGCTAGGTCTATACACTACAGGGTGTCCCAAACCCCCCTCTAGCGGTCCGTGGGAAGCTCAGATCAGGATGATTTTTATACCATTGGAACGCCCACGAAAAGGCGAGAAAACAAGCGGGCTTCATTTTCTAAGGTTTCTTCTGATTCGTCCGATATTCAGCGTTTTTCTAAAAAACAGGTATCTTTTCAATAGGAATTTCGCAATTAGCATGCGGATCTCGCGTAAATCTGCCATTTTCATGGATTTTGGAGGTAAAATTCGCCAATAAAAATACATAATAAAAAAATGAACTCTTCCTGTTTTCTCGCCTTTTCGAGAGCTTTCGATAGATACCTAAACGGCGAGAATCGGACACGTCTGGGCGCCGCTAGAGGGGGGGGGGTTTTGGGACACCCTGTACACAGCTACGCAATGCTCCAAATGACATCGCAAAATGTAATTTTGCATTTGATACGATGGCCTTCCCAAACGATCCCTGCTGGCTGACCCTAAAGGGACTAGGAAACCCTGAAATCTACCCCTTCTATCGACTAGGTCTAGACTGCTACGGGACGTTCCAAAATACACGTCAGGTGCTAAATTCTGCCATCTGTTAAGAGAACAAAAAAGATTCCTGCAACATGAAAATAGCAAAAATGTAGGCTTTTTGCTGCTCTCCTCAAATGATCTCTGCTGGCGTGCCCCAAAGAGCCAGGGAAGGGGGAAAATCGACCTATACTTCGACTAGGTCTCGACAGCTACGGAACGCCCCAAATGACGCGTGTTTTTCCCTTTTTATGGCTCCCATACAATGACAGTGATACAAAATCTCGTGCGGTTGCAAGCGTGTTTTGGAGTGTCGCGTAGTTGTCTAGGCCTAGTCGAAGAGAGGGTCGATCATAGCGTTCTCTAAAGCCTTTTGGTCAGACCAGCAGAGGTCCTTCAGGAAGCTTTGATTTTACTTTGATTGAAATTAAAACCAGAATTTATGCGTCGGTAGGAGTGAAGGGTAACTGTCGAGATCTACAGGGTGTCCGAAAAAAAACCCCCACCTCTGCATTTGGCCGTCTTCCATCCAATCGGGACCAAATTTTTACCAGTGATGGGGACCCAAAAAAACTATGTGCAGCCGAATTTTCTAAGCAAAATATTGTAAAACAAAGAAGATATATCAAAATTAAGGTTAATTTTGCCGATTTCACTAGGATTTTGACGGATTTCGGCCTCGAAATGTTTAGCAAAAATGAAGAGGGCGCTCTTTTCTACCTGTAGAAATTTTTTGATTTACGAAAATTACGTTTAAATTGGGCCTTTCGATCACTTTTTATTATCGAAATTGCCAGAAACTGACCGAGGAATGACCATTTTTTGGAAAATTACTCAAAATCCGCATGCTAATTGCGAAAACATAGCCAAAAACGAGTACCAGCGTTTTCCAAAAATCAGTTTTTTAGCGATAACTTTTTGGTTTTACCATATTTTGCTTAGAAAATTTGGCTGCACATAGTTTTTATGGGTCCCCACCTCTGGTAAAAATTTGGCCCCGATCCGATAGAAGACGGCCAAATGCCGAGGGGGGGTTTTTTGGGACACCCTGTAGTCGACGAAAGGGGTCAATTCTCAAGCTTTAGAGGCCCCGAAAGCCGTTATTCATGCTCAGCGCGCTCCCATTAATGCGTAGCGAATTATCAGGACATACTTGTCGAAACTCCAACCAATTTATTGCGCCGTAATTCCCATCGATATCACAAAGAGATGCCCGCTGCGGCCTGAGCGGCCTCAATCTGTACTGCCTTGTACATCACCCCGCTCCACCTCAACTTGGGGATGTGCGTCTTCACAAAGTGGGGATCTTCGGGCCAGAGTAGCCACCAGTTGGAGCCCTGAACGATGAAGCCCTCCTTGTGGGCTGCGCTGCATACAAGTGGCCAATTCTCGGGTCCGCCAAAGTTTTGGCCGATCACGACGGCGATGCCGGACTGAAAAATGATGTTGGAGAGAGAGACTGAGCGAGAGAGAGAGAGGGAGAGAGAGAGTGGAAGCGAGAGAGAGACAGAGAAAGAGAGAGAGCGAAAGAGAGAAAGAGAGAGAGAGAGAGAGAGAGAGAGAGAGAGAGGAGAGAGAGAGAGAGAGAGAGAGAGAGAGAGAAAGTGCGGGTGAGAGAGAAGGAGGGAGCACGCGCGCGAGAGAGAGAGGAACCGGGAGGACGAGAGAAATTTACCTAATGAAGCGAGAGAGTGAAAAAGAGCGAAATAAAGCGAGAGCATTTGTGCGAGAAAAAGAGAGAGAGAGGGAAAGAGAGAGAGAGAGGGAGGGAGAGAGGGGAGAGAGTGAGAGAGAGAGAGGGGAGAGGGAGAGATAGAGAGAGAGAGAGAGAGAGAGAGAGAGAGAGAAAGAGAGAAATTCATGTGCAGCTTACCATCAGCTCCCCAATGATCAACACCGCATTCCGAATAGTCTTCCGGTCGAGCTGCTTGAACGCCTTGATGAACAGAGAAACGCGGTAGTCCTAAAAAAATACGTTTCAAGAAAGGGTGAGAGAGCGAGAGAGCGAGCGAGCGAGAGAGAGATAGAGAGAGAGAGAGAGAGAGAGAGAGAGAGAATGCTTGAACTCACATTAATGCCCCCATCCGCAGAACTGTTCAGCCTTCGATTTCCGGCCGAAACAAACCGAATATGCACCAATCGCCTAGTACCTTCAGGCGGCGGGCTCTAAAAATCGTTGTACTTTGTAGTCTGTCGTATTTTAAACACATAGCACTGAAAACTTTTTCATATACCTTTAAAATTGATCAAAACCCTCACCTTGATGAGGGCCTCGCGTAACAGCACGTGGGCGAGTCTCAGGGCCAGCGCCTCATCATGCTCCGCGTCCCGAATTTTAAGACCGATCACCCGCTCCCCTGCCAGGATCTGAACGCATTAACGTCATTCATCCTCTTTAAGGCATTAGAGAGTCCGAAAATCGACCCGTTCCATCGACTAGGTCTAGACAACCAGCCGACGCGACATGCCGCATGGAACCGAGAGGTTGTGCCAAAAGACAGTCTTTGGCGGCTGTCAAAAGGGAAACGCGCCGTCATTTGGAGCGTCGCGTAGCTGTCGAGACCTAGTCGATGGAACGGGTAGATTTTCGGGCCGCTGAAACCCTTACCGGTTTCATCATCGCCGCTATGTCGTTGGCATCCCAGGCCGGACCCACGAGTCGGGAGAGTTCGATCGTCACCTAAGGTGAATTCCATTTTTAAACAGCGATTTTTTTAGGAATGGAGGCAGGCAGGCTAGCAGAGATCATTTGGGAATGGAAGGGCAGGCTAGCAGAGATCATTTGGGAATGGAAGGGGCAGGCTAGCAGAGATCATTTGGGAATGGAAGGGGCAGGCTAGCAGAGATCATTTGGGAATGGAAGGGCAGGC